AAAGAAAAATAGGATTTTGTAAACAAAATTCTGGATAATAATTTTAAGAGGGCCAGTCTAGCCACACCCACAATGCCTAGAGATCATTGGTCAAGTGGTAGCATGGGTGACAGGTGGAGGTGAATATATGAGAAAGATGGAGAAGTTGTTAACACCCACTGAGGGGATTGGTATGAGATACCAATGTGAGAGAGGAAGAGTCTAGGAGGATAACTCTCCTCCAACCTTCCTTCACAGATGATGGAGAAACCCTCAAAATGGAAAGTGATTAATCTTCCAAAAATGGGAAGTAATTAATTTTCCTGGCCTAAGAACAAAGAGAATTCTTGTTGGGAATCGAGAATTATTGAGGAACCCAAACCACATCAGGCCCCACACCGGGTTTGGTCAGTGTCCATATAAACGAACGTCCCCGGGCAGTTGATTCGGAGTTGGGTGTTCAGTCAGAGTGTTGCCTCACAGAAGCTGACCAAGAAATTCCACACCCTTCCAACTTTGACTTCCTACCAAAAGCAAGTTACATTGACAAACAACTTAAGATACCAAAACTCGCTTAGGAAACGCAAAAGTGTCACAGATCCATAGAAACCGACTGGGAGAGAAACACACTCTTGTATATAACAGAGAGATAAAGATAATTTGTTATTTCTCAACATATTTGAACCTCTTGAGTTTTGTCTTATTGCTTCTTTTACTTACACTTGTGTGATATCACCTTCACCCTGGATTCAGCTTGCACTACGGCCCGACGCCTAATTGATTTCGTCTACCTAAGATCAAAGTCACAACGTGGGTAGGTTAGACTTGAGATCAAAGTCATTGCTTCGGTAACCAGATGTTGAAAGTGAGCTGAGAACGACAAGTTGGTATCGAACCGGGAACGACGAGATCAACCGGGACACAGGCTGGTGGCAGCAACAAGGAGTCAACCCCAAAACACTGGTGGAAGAAACCTTACAGCTTCACGCCGCAATTGGAAGTTGACCACGGGCTGACAGCACAGTGTCACATATTGGCGTTGTGACCAGAGGACGTCACATATTGGCGATGCAACCACCAATGGGTGTCACAAGCTCTGTTTTCTTTTTACACCGTTTTCAGTGTATGTATGTTGGGGTCTTAAATAACTTCCATTTTTCCTTACTACATGTAACATCTACCTACCTTCATATGTAAAGTGTGCATCATGCTTCAAAAGAACAAAAAAGAGCTTTTAAATGTTCTATTTAAAAAAAAAGCTTTCAAATAAAATATTTTTATTTTAATTTAATTTTTCATATACTTAATTTTTCATATGCTTTTTTTAATAAAGTCTTATATTGATAAGAATAATGGTTTTTTGTGTGAATTTTTTATTTTAAATTTTCAAACATATTGTTTTCTTAAATTCTTATATAAGAAATCTTTTCCTAAAACAGAAGCATAAATAAATATGGTAGAAAACAACTTTTTCACAGTTTTACTTGTGATAAAATTTACTACTTTAGTATATAAACTTTCAGAAAAAATACCATTATTAGACCTTTATTCATACCCCCTAAACACAGAGCTTATTCTTTGCATACCAATAATCACTAACTTAAATTTTTATAAAACTTTACAAGTAAACATACAAAGATATTTTATTGTCATCTAGAAATATAAGGCAATGATTATGACCCACTTTTCTGTTAAAATCATTAGTCTCAAATATTAATAGTGGAAAATTAAATTTAAATAGATGAAATGAGGTGGTTTTAGTTTCTTATACTACTATGAAACTGAATGTCAAGGCTAAATTTTGCTAGCAGGAAATGAACAATTTAACTACAACCCAAAAGTTCAGGAAATATGACCGTGGAAATTTTTTAACACTTAGTTTTTAGTACTAATTTGAAGTAGCTCTCTTATGAGCCAATGTACTCACAAGAATAATGCTCAAAAAAAAGTAAATGTCTGTACTACATTAATTTCACAGAAATTGTTCATATTCCACAAAGACTTTATGTAGCATTTTGTATTTAGAAAACCAATGTTAATGTGAAAATACTCAGGAACTCTCTAAAAAGTTTTGACTATAATAATGTACTATGTTCTTAAGTTTTATATGAAACCTGCAAAAACAAAAGTAATTTTAATATAGACATGCCCCCCCCCACACCTTCATATCATTGCCATTGTTAGACAAATAACTTTCCCAATTCCTTTCATAACTGCTATTCTCCACCATGTCTCATCAGTAAACACCTCTGTCTCATCTCTGTCTATCTTCTCACTGTTCTTTTCCTACGGCATTTGCTATTCATTATGTACTATTCAATCAATCTTTCTCTCCATCTGTTATCCTTCCTTCTTGATATGAATCCCATTTCTATTTTTATCAATCATTTTTATGATATCTCATATCTTTCTCTATTTTCTGATGCATGTTGACCTCTTTCTGTCATTTAGATTATGCCTAGTATTGTTCTTACCATTGTTCTTAGTATCTTTCAGAATTATTTTCGGACGATTTTGTTAATTTCCATGTTATGCACCCATACATCATCAATATTAATTATACATTTTAAATTTTAAGTATATTGCAAGATGCTTCTTCTATGTGATATGTTCCTTCAGGACTTGAGCAATCATGGTTCTCCATCATTTCCTGTCCTTTGTAGCTCTTATTTTGTCTTTTTGCTATCTTTCCTAAACCCTGTTATGCCAACCATGTAAACAAGCTTGTTAGTAAATTATTCACTATTTTCATCTGCCTCTCTTCTCTTCAGTATGTCCAGTGAGTTAAATTTTCTATGCCCTCATTCTTTTTTCTTTTTATGTGCCATGTCCTTTCAGGACGTAGGTGATCATGGCTCTCCATCTCCCTCTATCCCATGCAGCTCTCAACAAGTTCCTTCCCTCTGCTTTCCCAGGCCACGTTCTGTCATTCACCTGCCCAAGTCTGCCAGGCATGTGCTGTTTTCCCTTGTCTCTCTTTTCCTCTATTTGACACGTGAGTATCAGATTCTTCAGTCCCTCCTTCCTCATTATGTGTCCCAGAAACTTCAGCTGCCTCTTCCTGATATTAAGTATAAGCATCCTCCTTGTTTGCAACCTCTCTAAGATCTCATCGTTGCTCGCATGCTCGGTCCATGATATCCTTAGCATCCTTCTGTAGAACCATATCTCTGTTGCCTCGAGTCTCTTCTTCATCTTTGAGGAAATAGTCTAACATTTGCTGCCGTAAAGAAGGACAGATGTCATGTAACAGTTCAGCATTCTTTTCTTTGTTACCAAAGATATCCTCCTATCTCACAGTACTCTGCCCAGCTTTTGGAATGTGTCCTTGGTCATCTCAATACACCTACGGATCTCAGTGTCACACCTACCGTCCTCTGTCAAGACGCTTCCCAGGTATTTAAACTTCCGCATCTGCTTGATTCTAGTGTTCCTGTCCTTCAGATCACATGTTGGGCTCATCCTCCTACTGATAATCATATGTACCCCTATAAATTTCAACTGCCTCTTTATGATTTTAACTATAAATGTCCTTTTTGTTTCCACTTTCTCTAAAATTTTGTTGCTGCTCACATATTCAGCCCATGAAATTCTCAGCATCCTTCTATAAAACCACATTTCTGCTGTCTCAAATCTCCTCTTCATCAAGATTAGGAAGGAAGCCTCCATCAATACTGAAATGAGCAATAACAGTTACTGAGTTGTGAGAAACTTATTTTCCTGAAAAATTGTTCTTAGAAAAAGATTTTATAAATTTTAACCAACAGCAGCACTGGCTGCTCAGTCAATGGATGCTAAATGTTTCCTTAAAAGGAAATGGCTAATATTACCATTATCATGATACCCCTACAAACATATATAATAGAGAATGGGCAGCATAGATGTGAAAACCTCAAACACAGAAATCAAACTGATAAAATTTGGTCTCTGCACATAAGGATCAATACACATCTTCTGGTAAGAAGAAAAACACATTTTTAGAGATAGAATCCCAATTTCTAACCAATAAAAAGACTTTCCCATTTCTTTTTGGTAACCGTGTGATCCTTCCTGGATGAATAAATAACAAGTTTTTATTCTGACTGATAGTCATTATTAAGGTCTATTACTAATGCACATACCTATGTTCACCTGGATCTCATTCAACAAAACCTAACACACCAGCCACTAAAGTATGTTACTAGTTCATTCATTTATTTATTGCTTTGTTCAGTATCAAACCTGAACTTAAAATACATGATAAAAAATGTAGAAAAATAAAAATAAAATTGCCTACAAAGACATTACAAATTTTTTCAACAACTTTTCTTGTTTACATACAAGAAAACATAAGTTTGAAGCTAATAAGTATAAATATAATCTGAATGAACTGAGAATTTTTAATGAGTCATATAATTCCTTAAGGCATTAATATAGAGTAAATGCTACAGTTTCAACTTATCAATTTCTTCTTGGTGATGATATCCATTGCAGCATCCATCTATGCACACACACACACACACATGTTTAAGTGTCTGTAGATAAATTAATGAATGTTAATTAGCTTAATGGTGAAAAAGAATTTATTTTATGCAATTATTTATTAGCATAATCTGCTTAAATTGTCAGTGTATTTAATTAATTTTGTGAATATTAATAAAAAATATAGAAATTATAAAGTAAGAATTAAAATTAAAACTCAGTTAAGTTCATGGCAAAGCCTAAATGCGGACAGAGTTTGAACATGGCAGAATGGGTGAGTTAAAAAAAAGCAAGGCTGTTGGTTGTTTTTGTTTGGCAGCATATCAACCTCTATGAGTTATTTAATGCCAAAATCTAAATATTTTGTACTTAATTTTATTTTTTCATTTTTGGAGATAATAATGGTTTTAGTGATACAAGTCTTACTAATTAACCCATAGCTGGGGACAAGAAGAGGTGGATTCATACCTTTCCCAAGGTTATTTGCACACAAGTAAATGTAATGAACCCAACTAGAATTAGATCTTGTCTCTGAATTAACAATTCCAAACCATTATCCATTACAGCAACTAGTATTCTCAAGTAGTCACCCATCTAGGTACTGACCAGGCTTGATATTGCTTAACTGCTGTGATCGTATGGGAACCATTGTTTCAACATATGATGTGGCTGTAAGTAATATCAAGCTGTGTTCTTACTGATGTGCTTTATATATATATATATATATATATATATATATATATATATATATATATATATATATATATATATATATATATATATATAAAAATGTCATACATTATTAAATGTACAAAACAAACAATTATTTTAAGACATTTTATGTTTATACATTCTTTTTATAATACAAATATTTAATTAAATGCTCTGTTTATAATAAACAGTATTAAACAACATTTACTGTCCTGAATATCCGAAATTTTTTATATTCGAGGACGAATATTTTCTGAAAATTTCTTTGACATTCAGGCCGGTAAATGTTGTTTAATACTGTTTATTATAAACAGAGCATTTACTTAAATATTTGTATCTATAAAAAGAATGTATAAACATAAAATGTCTTAATATATATAAATATATATATATATATATATATATATATATAAAATGGATGGATCAACAACTGACACATTCATTCAGTCCAGTGAAGAATTTCATCACCAAGAGTCACTTGAGGTAGAGGGTTACTGAATAAGAAGTACAGTTTATGTGAATATGTGAGGAATATAATGGGTAAACCATGACTTGAACAGGTTAAGATTATAGTGATTAAGGAAGCATAAGTGTGATCTTTTTCAAACTGACTGTTGT